CTGTGCCTTCGTTCGGTGCGTATTGCTCTCGAACCCACGCGGGCAGAGCTAATGGATTAGCAGTCCATCGCGCTTAACCACTCGGCCACCTCGTCGCTGCTGCTAGTAGGACCACCATATTGATCGTAATTTAACGAATTCGAAATCTTGGAAAAAATGAGCATCCGACGAGAGATGGGATTCGAACCGCGGCAGAGCCCAATGGATTAGCAGTCCATCGCCTTAACCACTCGGCCACCTCGTCGCTTAGTTGGAGTTCCTTTCAGCTGTTGAAGAGTTTCATTTATGGATCGTAATTTAACCTATTCGATATCTTACGGAAAAAATGAGATCCGACAAGGGCGGTTACAACCCACGCGGGCAGAGCCCAATGGATTAACGTCCATCGCCTTAACCACTCGGCCACCTCGTCGCTTCACCTGATCCAGGCTTCTATATCGATCATTAGCAATTCGATATCTTAACGGAAAAATGATCATCCGAGACGAGGATGGGACTCGAACCACGCGGCAGAGCCCAATGGATTAGCAGTCCATCGCCTTAACCACTCAGCCTCGTCGCTACAGTAATGCAGAGTTTCTATATTGATCGTAATTTAGCAATTCGAAATCTTAACGGAAAAAATCATCCGACGAGGATGGATTCGAACCCAGCGGGCAGAGCCCAATGGTTAGCAGTCCATCGCCTTAACCACTCCGCCACCTCGTCGCTTGTGCCTTTAGGTGTGAAGATTTCATTTATGGATCGTAATTTAAGATTCGTATAACGGAAAAAGGACAGACGGATGGGATTGAACCCAGCGGGCAGGCAATGGTTACAGTCCATCGCCTTAACCACTCGGCCACCTCGTCGCTTCTACCTGATGCATAGCTTCCTATATCGATCGTAATTTAACGAATTCGATATCTTAACGGAGAAAAATGATCATCCGACGAGGATGGGACTCGAACCCACGCGGGCAGAGCCCAATGGATTAACGATCCATCGCAAACCACTCCGGCCACCTCGTCGCTCTCTATACAGCTTCTATCGATCGTAATTTGAATTCGATATCTTAACGGAAAAAATGACATCCGACGAGGATGGGATCGAACCACGCGGGCAGAGCCAATGGATTACGGTCATCGCCTTAACCACTCGGCCACCTCGTCGCTCTAGCTATGCAGAGCTTCCTATATTGATCTTAATTTAACGAATTCGAATCTTAACGGAAAAAATGAGCCCGACGAGAGATGGGATTCGAACCAGCGGCAGAGGCAATGGATTAGCAGTCCATCGCCTTAACCACTCGGCCACCTCTCGTCGCTGCTGTTCTTTCATCTATGAAGCTTCTTTATGGTGTGTTTAAAGAATTCGATATCTTAACGGAAAAAAATGAGCATCCGACAAGAATGGGATTCTAACCCACGCGGGCAGAACCCAATGGATTAGCAGTCCATCGCTTTACCACTCGGCCACCTCGTCGCTTCTGCATGTGCAGAGCTCCTATATGATCGTAATTTAACGAATTCGATATCTTAGGAAAAAAATGAGCACCCGACGAGGATGATTCAGACCTCACGCAGGCAGAGCCCAGAGTTAGATCCATCGCTTTAACCACTCGGCCACCTCGTCGCTACCTGATGCGAGCTCTATATCGATCGTAATTTAACGAATTCGAATCTTAACGGAAAAAATGATCTTCCGACGAGATGGGACTCGAACCCGCGAGGCAGAGCCCAGAGTTAGCAGTCCATCGCACCACTCGGCCACCTCGTCGCTACCTGATGCAGAGCTTCCTATATCGATCGTAATTTAGAGATTCGATATCTTAACGGAAAAATGATCATCCGACGAGGATGGGACTCGCACCCGCGGGCAGGCCAGATTAGCAGTCCATCTTGCCACTCACTGCCACCTCGTCGCTGCTAGCTAATGCAGAGCTTCCTATTGATCGTAATTTAGCAATTCGAAATTAACGGAAAAATAGGCACCCGACGAGATGGGATTCGACCCGCAGGGCAGAGCCCAATGGATTACGTCCATCGCCTTAACCACTCGACCTCGTCGCTTCTATATCGCAGAGCTTCCATATCGATCGTAATTTGAATTCGATATCTTAGAGAAAAACTAACATCCGACAGAGTGGGGTCGAACCCGCGAGGCCCAATGGTTACATTTCTTTATCACCATGTGGCCCTCTCGTCTCTTGTTGGCGTTGCTTTCGCTGTTGTAGAGCTTCCTTTATGGATCGTAGTTTAAAGAATTCGATATCTTAACGGAAAAAAATGAGCATCCGACAAGGATGGGATTCCGAACCCACGCGGCGCAGAGCCAAGGATTACAGTCCATCTATACTCTCGGCCATGTCGTCGATTCTGGCAGTGCATAGCTTCCTATATCTTATATTTAGAGATTCATCTTGGAAAAAATAGAGCATCCGACAGGATGGGACAATGAGCAGGCAGAGCCCAATAGTTAGCAGTCCATCGCCTTAACACTCAGCCACCTTCTTGGTGTTGCTTTCAGCTGTTGAAGAGCCATTTATGGACGTAGTTTAACGAATTCGATATCTTAGGAGGAAAAAATGACATCCGACAAGACGGATTCGAAAGCAGGCAGAGCAATGGATTAAGTATCGCTTTAACCACTCGGCCACCTCGTCGCTACCTGATGCAGAGCTTCCTATATCGATCGTAATTTAACGAATTCGAAATCTTAGGAAAAAAATGGCATCCGACGAGGATGGATTCGAACCCAGCGGGCAGAGCCCAATGGATTAGGTCCATCCTGCTTACACTCATCGTCGCTTAGTTGGGTCTTCCTTATTTCATTATGGATCGTAATTTAACCTATTCGATATCTTAACGGAAAAAATGATCATCCGATCGAGGATGATTCAACCACGCGGCAGAGCAATGGATTAGCAGTCCATCGCCTTAACCACTCGGCCACCTCGTCGCTTCCTACTGATGCATAGCTTCTATATCGATCGTAATTTAACGAATTCGATATCTTAACGGAGAAAAATGATCATCCGACGAGATGGGACTCACGGCCAGAGCCCAATGGATTAGCAGTCCTCCCTTAACCACTCGGCCACCTCGTCGCTTCTGATATAGAGTTCCTATGATCGAGTATTTAACAGATTCTCTTAACGGAAAAGGATCGTCGACGAGGATGGGACTCGAACCCAGCGTGAGATTAGCAGTCCATCGCCTTACTCACTCAGCACCTCTCGCTGCTAGTACAGAGCTTCCTATGATCGTAATTAAGCAATTCAATCTTAGAGAAAAATGAGCACCCGACGAAGATGGGATTCGAACCCAGGGGCAGAGCCCAATGGATTAGCAGTCCATCGCCTTAACCACTCGGCCACCTCGTCGCTTAGCTGCTGTTGCTTTCATCTGTTGTAGAGCTTCCTTTATGGATCGTAGTTTAAAGAATTCGATATCTTAACGGAAAAAAATGAGCATCCGACAAGAATGGGATTCTAACCCACGCGGGCAGAGCAATGGATTAGCAGTCCATCGCCTTAAACACTCGGCCACCTCGTCGCTTCTATATCATCCAGAGCTTCTTATATCGATCGTAATTTAACGAATTCGATATCTTAACGGATAAAACTGAACATCCGACAAGGATGGGATTCGAACCCTCGCGGGCAGAGCCCAATGGATTAGCATTCCTTCTCCTTATCCTGTCGGCCCTCTCGTCTCTTAGTTGGCGTTGCTTTCAGCTGTTGTAGAGCTTCCTTTATGTATCGTAGTTTAACGAATTCGATATCTTAACGGAAAAAAATGAGCATCCGACAAGGATGGGATTCGAACCCACGCGGGCAGAGCCCAATGGATTAGCAGTCCATCGCCTTAACTACTCGGCCATGTCGTCGATTCTAGCTGATGCAGAGCTTCCTATATCTATCGTAATTTAACGAATTCGAAATCTTAACGGAAAAATATGAGCATCCGACAAGGATGGGACTCGAACCCAGGCGGGCAGAGCCCAATGGATTAGCAGTCCATCCTTTAACTATAAGCCCATGTCGTCGATTCTACCTGATGCAGAGCTTCCTATATTGATCGTAATTTAACGAATTCGAAATCTTAACGGAAAAAAATGAGCATCCGACGAGGATGGGATTCGAACCCACGCGGGCAGAGCCCAATGGATTAGCAGTCCATCGCCTTAACTACTCGGCCATGTCGTCGAAACTAGCTGATGAAGAGCTTCCTATATCTATCGTAATTTAACGAATTCGAAATCTTAACGGAAAAAAATGAGCATCCGACGAGGATGGGATTCGAACCCACGCGGGCAGAGCCCAATGGATTAGCAGTCCATCGCCTTAAGGTATCCGACTGGTTTAAAATCGTCGATTTTGATGAAATTATCAAAAAACATTTTATGACTTAATTTTGTAGCCAGTTTAATCAGCTTTCTAAAACTGTCTCTCTTT